TGTCGTTAAATCATTTTTTTTTCAAGTTTATCTTTAACGCCGGAGGACTACATGTGTCATACTTGGTGTCTAGTTTTAATGGTTTATCATCTTTACTTCTGTTAACCCCCAATGAGGAAAAAAAAAAAAAAAAAAAAACGAGGAAAACGAGTCCGAAAATCACCCTTCTGCACATGTACTGATTTAAGAAGATGTCATCGCTGATACATGTTCCTTCATTTATCTCGGTTTATGCACGCCCAAACACATGTACCGGTACATGTACCGTGAATTAAACAGGCAAGCACCATGCAAACATAATGTTTGGACGAACTTTGATAAAACTTTGTTGGTGGATTAGTATGGAAACATGCCTTGTATACTGATACCATGTACTTTTTTCAACAGAGGTAAAACAATATTTTAGTAACTGGTTCCTGCCTTCGTCATATTTGGCAATATTTTGGTATTATGTTTGTAGATGGCAGCATTTAATTTTATCTTTAATTGACGTAGAACGGATATTCGTCTAAAAGTTAAGACAAATTTCCGAACTTAAGTTTCTTTGTGCAATCGGTCCTGTGATTTGTTTGTCCAATATTTGTCAGTTATAAGATAACATCAGAATTGACTAGCCTTCCGGTCTGTAAACACAGTCGGACGTGATAATATTTGTGAAAGGAACGGGTATTGTATCTATCGTTAGTATTTGATAAGCGCTTGTTGTTGTAATTGGAAAAAAGATAAGCATCAGTCTTTACTCTCTCTGTTTACATAACAAAACGTCTCGTATTCAAGGATTGAATTGATAAAGAAGGCAGCACAGCTGCCATATTTTCTATTCGCAACAGTGTCAATTCCATGTCTTTATATATTGCGATGTAAGCGACAATCAAGCGTCATGATTGTTGGGACTAAAGGAAAATACAATGCAACGTGGAAAATTTCCACCTGTGTAAATTAAATAGATACACCGTTAGATCTATTATTTACTAGGCAATCACGTAAGAAAATATTTTGAATCTTTCCCTGGTAATGCATTATTTCTAGACATGGGCTACAGAGAAGGCCATGTATTTTGGCACGCTGTCAAACATTGATAAAAATCAAGGTTTTCGACACGCCAGGTTTAAGATTTATCGCACATAGCGTAAGAGCGTATAATACAAAGGAGTACCTTTTGAACAAGTCACCATTGTTTCACTTGTACAGAATGAAACCGATAAAAACTCTCCAACTGATGCTGTTAGGAATGTTGTTATTTTTTCATGTCTGTAAGTACACATATTATACATTTGAAAGCAATGTAGGGGATTTTTTATGTCAAAATACAGCGATCTTTGTCATTTTGTATAACAATATTGATTAAAGAAATATACTTTGGAAATGTCCCAAACTTATTTTTTGTGTCTAGATATCATGAAACAGATTTGGCTTGAAAATCTAGCAGAAAACATTGAATGAGTCCTCATCACCTATTTTAGATTATGCCAGAGGTGTAGCATGCAACAACACATTGGCGGCCTTTTGTCTCCAAGGAAGCACGTACGTCTACCACGCAGGTACTACGCCGAGAACAGTGGCTGAGAGTAAGACATATTGTTCGTCACTTCCCCCTGCTGGTACTTGGTATCTGAGCAGAATAGAGTCTACATCGGAACGATCCAGGCTTTACAGTTATTTAATAAGGTAAGGTAATCAAAGAAGGGAGGTTTACAGTGTTGGTCACCTCACTTGATTCACCATTTGCAATCAAAAATAAGGAATTCTGACCCAAGAGCAGGTATATATTTGTACGGTATTAATATATTCTGAAACTCACTCAATACTCGATACAGGTAGTTGTAATTGTGATTTGGATGTATCCAACGTAAACGATTACATTGAGAAGGAAAGCAGTAATGCACAAACAGGGTGAAAGTTTTCATACCGGAAGTACGTTGCAACCCCAATTAGATGTCATGTTATTGTTAGAACCACGAGTTTGATATCCCTCTTTGACCTTGACATTGATCCATTTTGCGAATGACAAGTAGCAAGGCCTTAAAGGGATAATAGCTCTTCGTTTTGGCCAAAAAAAATTAATTTTCCTGGAGTAAACAACAATTTTCCCATACTGACCAATGGTAAATGAATCCATTTTTACATTCAAAGTTAGTCACTGGTTTTTTTCTAAAAAGTTTGTTTTTTTTTGTTAAAATCTCTTAAGAGATTAGAACAGATTATAGCCATCAATGGAGGTCACGTGGTCTGAAGACAAGCTCAGACAGTCCCAAAAAAAAAAAAAAAAAAAATACTGCTAAATCAGTAAAGGAATGCCATCAGTACACTGCTGGAAACGTACATTTACCACAGAAACACGTATCAAACTATCACTATGTCTTTATCCATGCTCTCAAAATATTTAAGCACTGTCAATACTTCGTAGAAAGGTAAAAAAAGTCATGAATAGATATGCTGCATATTACCAAATCTTTTAAAGGTTATTTTATGCATTTTGTTGGTATACCAATCAATAAAACAAATATTAAACAAACAGTGTATCTTTATTTGTGCTCTCAGAATATTAAAGCATTATGAACACTTCACACAAATGTTAAAAAATCATGCAAAGATATGCTTTTTAATATATTTAATATATTAAAATACTACCGAATCTATTAAAGGTCATTTCGGTCGATGCCGTTTTGTCTACTTTGACTCGCACGAAGCAGCCAAACAGTCGGGTGGCCTGTCCGACCTTCTGCCCACCAAATACCTCGACGCTCTTGTCGACCCTGTTTTCGCTACAAAAAACCTGTTATGTGCTGCTTTGGACAGAATGTCACTGAAATTTTCCGGGCGATAATCGCCGGCCGCCGCCAGCCTTTCGTATAATTAAAGAAAGGTGATATCTCCATGCCCAATATCAATGGCATATCAATCCAAACGACGGCCTCCGTCCTCTTTATGACTTTAATTGTCGTGTGATTTGACGGTAATCCTAGAGATGAATTTGACAGCAAAGCCGCTTTCCACGTGGCGATAATACACATGCGCAATAAGGACGTTTGCGACAATTAACTTCGTTGGGGTGAGTTTTTTTTTCGGAGAACAGACGAAAATCGGTGCACGCGCAGGATGTCATCCATAAAAATAAAAAGTGTGGCCTAATTCACTTTACTTATATCTCTATGATCGAAATTATTATTGTATATAAACGGCGCGGATGAGAGAAAGATATTTCACCACAAGATCTTCCACAAAGGAAATAATGTATCATTACATTCGTAATATTGCGAAATTGAGTGACATCTAAAGATACGAAAGCACAATCAGGAGAAATGTTAGTGATTTCGGATATGGCGATGTCTACTTTGGTGTCTTTAAATTCTGTTTTACAAGTCCGAATTGTTAATCATAATGATGTAGGGAGGATCATTGACTGTTCCAATGATCAATCCGTTCTTCTTTCACTTAGTGTGTGATGACTATGTAAACTGAAAATATTTCAGGTAGGACGTGGACACTCGTATAAAAACTCATACAACCTGCCGGTATATATATCTATATATATATATATATATATATATATATATATATATATATATATATATCCTTTTACAGCGAAGGGGTATACGACAGATTCTGGATATCAGCGACGGACATAAACGGCAATGGAGACTGGGAGTGGACAGAGCCGGTGACAGAGCCTGTACAGTACTCTGGCTGGAAGTCCGGACAACCAGGTTCTGGCAGCACCCTGTGTGCAAGACTCGACTGTAGGTCGGGCGGTTATTGTTTGTGGGAGTCCAAAAGTTGTGACGATTCAAACACAAGACCTCTTTGCAGAGTTCCAGGTAAAATTCCGATTTCGTCGATATTCCTTTCTCCATTCGACGACATTACGTGATGTATTTTTTTCATCGTTTCCGTCGTCTTCTTCTTCATCGCTTTCTATGGTCCGTGATAAGTATTCAGTTTTACGCCGTCTTTCGAAGTGGCTCCCGTGCGCTCAATTGATTCACTGCGGTAAAATCCCGCTTTCGTCGATCCTTTTTTTTTCATTCTAAGACATTACGTGACATTTTTTTCATCCTTTATGTCTTCTTCTTCTCCATCGCTTTCTATCGTACGTGATAAATATTTAGTTTTAAGCTGACTTTCGAAATGGCTGTCCAGGGCTCCGAATCTCGAAAGGTTCGCTATGTTGCGCAAGTGTGCAAGTGTCTCGATTCCATAACCGATTCTATTTCGAGATACGGGGCTTTGGAATCGAGACACTTGCGCACGTGCGCAACATAGCGAACCTTTCGAGATACGGAGCCCAGGCGTTCAATTGATTCACTGCGTGTGCTCCTTTCCCTGCTCATACAAATTGACAGAGTAAATCAGTGAGGCCATATCTAGTCGTTCTGCTGTCCAGAGACAACAAGACCACAGTCACATCCACCCGTCTAACATCCGGACAAACAAACATTGAAACAAACCTTCTAAATTATACATATTTCAGAAACATTGCGTCATGGGGAATTCTATAGTAGATAGGACTATCACGATTCCCCTTTTTATGAGTGTCCTCAAGAATTCAAACGCTTATAGCGAATGCAAAACCAGCTTATGAAGGAACTGGAGACATATCCCTTAGCAAAAGATCAGTCCTGCTGCAAATTCGAACAAATTTGCAGCACATTTGCTGTACCATTGCTGCAAAATGCAATTCCTTCTTGTAAATTTGCAGCGAATTTACGGCAATATGGCTGCAAATGTGCAGCAGTAAATTATTTTTTGCAGTTCCTGCAAACTCGTTGCTTTTCATTTTGCAAAGGGTGCATATTTTTGGAAATTTTACAGCCTGGATTAAATGACACTTGCATGTTTTTTTTTTTTCGATTTGACGTACTTTTATTAACTATGGAAGGAATGACTTTAAATGTTATAGGCCCTGCTTGCCTCGCTTTTATTGTCTTTTAATATTCCCCTACGGTACATATCACTTCAAGCTTTGCTAGCTTTCCTTCTATAAATGTCACTTCTGCAGCATGACGTCATCACGTGTCGTAATAATTTTCATTTCAGGCCCTACCTGCCCCGCTACTATTAACGTCACTTCCGCTGGTGAGAACCTGACGTCACCGGGATATCCGTCGTTTTACGATCCTGTTAATCTTTTATGTACGTTGTACCGCATTCTGCCGGAAAACGACGAAGCATTGCTGTTGGTATTCAATGTTTTCTCCGTAGACCAGTATTACTCGTGTGAGGGTTATGCTTGCTGTAGAGACTACGTTCAGGTAATGTTAATTACTATTTTCTTAATACTGAGAAGATTAAGATTATCTTCTTCCTGGTGCCTGCCCTTTAATAAGACAATTGATATCTATAAGTTAGTTGGTCTACAATAACAACCGGAGATTATTTTGAACAAGGTCGTTAGAGAAAATTTATATTTTTGTATTATATCATCTTAAACGGGCATAACAGTTGAAGTTTGGGGTTAAACTGGAATTTTAAAGGAAAGAAATGTAAAGTCCTCTCTGTGTGTTTTTTTTAGCATAAAAAAGCATTATTTCGTATGTCAATTGTAAACTTATCCCACAAAAGAAAATCAAATGCCCAATACATTTTTCCATTTTTTTGGAAAAAAAATCGGTAAGAAGAAAATCTGATTTCCTTAAAATAAGGGTCGATCGGGCTCGTTGATCAAGTTGATATTTTTTATGTTCGTGCCCTGGAAATTTCTTGACTAAAATTGCCGTCCATCGTCCGATACAATGCACTGGTTGGTAAATTATCTTGAACAAACAGTTAAAATGTCGAATAAATATACTGTACCTTAATGTAAACATCAATAAAAGCAGCGACTGTATTCAATTAGTGGCATCTGTGCAGCCTAAAACGGCAAGAAGTGCTGTGGAATATTGTAATAATGTATATTAAATAAGTTAACGGTCTACAATATCATTTGTAACACCGTTAATATTGCATTTACAGAATATAAAAAAAAAATCCGCGTCGTTTCTATTTTAAGGCATGGAGTACTGTTGTGGGCAACATCGTTTTAACCTGTTCTGCAGGGTTTTTGAACATCCAGATACTCACAAATACTGAGCTGCTCTTAGATCTGAATCGGCTTGGCACGGTCGAATCTCAAGGTTTTCATGCAACTCTAGAGGCGTACGACAGAAACGGTAAGTGCTGACAACAGTTGTGTCAGGTATACGGTATTTTGTTCAAGTTCTGTCAACCGAGGATGTTAACTTTACACTAACAGAAACGTCTGTTTACACATGTAAGTGCATGTACCTGTATATAAGGATTTGCTCTCTTTTTTTGTTAAATGACAATTTGTTTTATAGTCAGCGCTTTTTAATATTCTGTTAGTCTTTTGAACGTTTTTTTCATAATAATAATAATAATAACAGTAATAATAATAATAATTATTATTGTTATTATCATCATCATAATCATTATTATTATTCCATGGGTCGGCGGGGTATATATGGTATATCTGACTTATATTGCGGTGGATGCTATGGACAAAACCCAAGGTTTGCCAACCTAGTTCATGCTAGACATATGTGTATGCGAGATACACCCCCTCAGGGCCCCTTGTTCTTAACACCTAACAAGTCTATGTGATTCACATCTGTCTTAAGCACACTATGTCAGATATCAATCAGCACCCTTTCGATTTCCCACATATACACAAAGAGAATAAACAGAAAGATGAATTCTGTTATAAAACAAGGGTTTCTAAAGCTACATGTACTAAGGTCATTCTCACAAAGGTGAAAGCTTTCCATATGAATAATTTGGTGCGTTGATTTTATCGTTTTCCTTTTCTAGATTGCGGGGGCCACTTTATAGCCGGGAATGGGAATATCACCTCCCCGTCCTACCCCAGCAATTACCCAGATAGAAGCATCTGTGTTTACGAAATTCGAGCAGCAGACACAAGTCGAGACGTTTTGTTACATTTTGTAGACTTCCAATTAGAGGCCCACTCCAACTGCATTTGGGATCGCATTAAGGTGAAAAGTATTCGGTAAAGAACGTAATGAAAATTGAAGGAAACGATTGAAGAACTCAAAATAAACAATAACTTGATAGCATCAAATAAACATAAATACAAAAAGTCGGACTGACATCGATGCTGTGTACAGACCACTGCCAATAATCGCAGTGCACCGGTAGGCGCACCCGCTCTTTAACGGTGTACACAGTCCAATACAATAAAGTACATACAGTGTATATCGTGTGCACTTGTCCGTATTAATTCTCATTAACTACGAGAATGCCCTGTCTTCGTTATTAGTGATTTGAAGTCACTTCCTATTTCAAACAGGTTCGACACGTGTTCCCCAATGGCACAACCGGCGAGATGACTGTTTGTGGGTCCACCTTACCTGCAGATGTCATTGCAAAGACAATTTCAGTTCTTTTCTACGCAGACTATTCGGAAAATCGACGAGGGTTTCGTGCTGCATATTCTGTTTGTAAGTTCAGTAACACCACTTGATCTAATGCGTTGTTTTGCACGCACACTGACACACACACACATGCACATTAAAATGGCAATAGAAGAACACGCACCTGAGGTACAGATCTACATCAACACCAATTTTTGCACTGTCTGGCAAAAAAATATATAGCATTGCATTTATTTCAGACCAACCACCTACAATTGCACCTGTAACGCTCCTGGATGAGGATGTGGAATTAGTCAATCGGAATCAAAGAGCTGAAGCAACCACACAAAATTCATCTTCGATGACAACTATCATGCCAATTGAGGCGATGATGTCGACATATATTACCCCAAAGACCAATGTAGAGTCCAGACATATCTCTTTAGGATCGACAGTGATTTATACGGAAGAAATCCCAAATATCACAGATATTTCTACAGGAACCGTTGCGGAGCCCATTACAACAGTTTTTATCACGGATGTCAGATCGACTTTCGCAGATATTTCGACACAAGTAAACCCAGAACTAATATTTATGTTCACAGAAGTGAGTTCGATTTCTACAGATATTTCGAAAGAAACCAACTCAGAGTCAACATCTATGCTTAGAGAGATCAGCTCCACTTTCACGAATACAAACTCGGAACCAACTGAAACGAGTTCAAGTTCTACAGAAGTTTTGACAGAAACCAGCTCGGTGTCAACATCAGTGCCCATTAAAACCAGCTCAGATTCCACAGACATTTCAACAGAAACAATATTAGAACCAACCAAAACTAGTTCTCCCGGAAATTCGACAGAAGTCATCTCGGAAGCAACACTTATGCCAATAGGAACCAGCTCAAGTTTGACAGATACCTTAGCAAACACAATCTTGGACACAATGGCGTTTCTAGAAAGGAGTTTGAGTTCTACAGAAATTTCGACAGAGCCAAGCAGGGAAAATACGGTAATGCGCACAGAATCTGTTTCCAGTTCCACGTATACTTCGACAGAAAAGAGTGTGACGTCACCCATCATTCCTATAGATGAGTCCTTACACGTTATGGCCAGTTTAACAGAGATGACTCTTTCATATATGCCCAGTGCAACTAAAATTTCCACAGAATCCAACTTAGAAACCTCAACAGCCAATACTTTATCCGTGGTCGTATCAAGGCGAGTGCCTGCGGAAACAGGCGAGTTGGATTCACCAACAGATGGTCCAGGATTATTTTCGTCACAATCAGCCATAACATCGCCAACACAATCAGCCATAGCATCGCCGACACAATCAGCCATAACATCGCCAACACAATCAGCCACAGCATCGCCAACACAATCAGCCATAACGTCGCCAACACAATCAGCCATAGCATCGGCAACACAGTTAGCCATAACATCGCTAACGCAATCAGCCATAACATCGCCAACACAATCAGCCATAGCATCGCCAACCAACTCCAGTTCCACGTTGACGACCGATGCCTTTGACCCCAACGTCACCATGACAACAAGCCAAGCCCAGCCGCAATGCCCTCCATTGCCTCCCATACCCAACGCAAATGTTATCTACAGCGTGGGTGTGGGGTTTCCGCTTGAAAATGGAACAGTCGCCGTAGTTGATTGTCCTGAAGGATACAGACTGAACACAAGACAGGACAATGTCACCTTGGTGTGCCTGGACAGTTTGGCGTGGAACCTGACCGCTAACATCATCTGCGAGAGTGAGTAAACAGGCTCCTGATTTTGTAGACTGTGTATTTTATCATTATAAAACATTTGATGTAAACGAATTCTTAGTAAGTGAATGTAACATCTTTAACCGAAAAACAAAGATAATTGCGCTTGTTTTAAATAGTAGTATAGATGCATTTAAATTATATAATCATCACTTTCTGCACTTGGATTATGCCGTCATTGTGCAGACAAACATTTGATTGAGTAATGAAATGTTAAGTTTAATCAAAAAATGAAGATACTGTATGTTAAATGTGGTATACTTATTAATTTCCAAATACTACTACCTGAACTATAAAGTCATCCTCAATTCCCTACAGTTGTCAAATGCAGCCCTCCGGAAAATGTTTTGGGGGTGACTATCAACATCACATCAACGGAATATATGGCTCAACTTACGTATGCATGCGAAAATGGCTCAGTTTTTATAGATGGCAGTACAACAAGACAAGCCAGATGCCATGCTTCTGGAAAATGGCTTCCAAGTTTTGCACAATGTGTCTGTAAGTTACAGATATTAAAATGTTTATAAGAAAATGGAGTTAACGTGTCGAAACTGATCCTGATTTATATTAACGGTCATATAAAATAGAACGAGATAAAAGAACTATTATGCAACATAAAATTGAGTGCATGTTCAAAATGAATAAGAAAAAGCGTATTTTGAATTTTGTTGATTGCACATTACATACCTACATCATATGGTTGGTTAAAACATTCTTTTTTGTGTTTTTCAGCTCATCGGCTTGAGATGCCAAAATCTGCCCGTCAAAGAAGAGAACCGCCAGTGGAAGCTACGGGTGCCGCAGTGATTGGGACATTTGCTCTGGGAGTATGCTTGGCTATTGTTGGGACTATAGTCTTTCTTGATATTGCCACATTGAAGCACCATCTATCGAGGATGAAAAAAATTTGGGTTATCACAAAGAGAAGCGCAATTTGAAGGCAAGAAAATACGCTTATTAAGTGTGACCACGATTAAAAGTGAAAACCTTTGGACGGCAATTGAAAGCAGCATTGTAAAATATGATACTTTGATATTTTATCTACACCCGTCCTTGTTCAAACCAAGAATAACAGTAATCCGTTATTTAATATAAATTGCAAGATTTACAGTTAAAAGAATACAAGGCGTGCTGAAGCAGAGATGGGAAAAGAACACTGAATATAGCTCTCATTGTCACCTTATCGTTACTGTAACTTATGTGGTAACTTTGAAGGGCAGATATGCAGGATCAACCACATGGTCACATCTTCAACGTCTGAGAAACTCATTTTTTGCGCGGGTAGTCGTTACTTTTATGAGAAAGTCGAGCAAGCTAAAACAGGTTACTAATAACGTACAACATACAGTGCGAGATTATTTTTGATGATAAGGGGCTGCCGATGTTTCTGCATAGATTAGATTACCTATGGGAAATGTTTCATATAACACTGTGTTTCTTGCAATCTTATCTCATAATCCTTTCGAATGTATTCTTAGGTGTGCAATCACAGTGTGGGCTGGGGGGGGGGGGGGGGGATGAGAGATTCCACGGTATTCGTTTTGCGCTTTATTGATTCGCAATAAAGTTGCATTTAAGAAAAACTACATTATAATACACACGTAACTGTACATATAGTTCAAATGTGCCAGGAATGTTGGTTTGTACAAGCCTTAGCTTGTGACTTAAAGTCTTAACATAAAAAAGTCCACTTGGACATAGACATGAAGTAAAATTTTAATAAAGAAAGTAATTATTATTTATTTCCTTCTTTTAGTATATCTTGATGACAACGGTCTACATTCTCATTCTTAAGGTATACTTCAGGCATTTCAAATTATCAAAAAGTGACATTTTCTCTGGCTGACTAGCCTATCCTTCTGGCCTGTAAGTATACTTATAGTCAAAAGTTATAATATCTGTTTGAAAAACAGGCACTTTGATCTTCCCCAATTCTTACCTTTAAAACCAGAAACACCCCCGAAAAAAGTTACTGGTGTCGATATTTAATTCTGGACTGGTTATTAAATCTAAATAAAGCTTCGAATCCACGGCCAGGGTCGGGTCGAACAATGATTGCTGAGGAGAAGAATTTGACCCCTGCCCCGCCCCTGAAGTCAATTCATTTTGGAGGGTAAATCCAATATGGAGTAGCTTTAAGCTATAGGACTGCTACCAGTAGTTATGCACGCCCGAACTCATGTACCGGTACATGTACCTTAAATTATTCATGCAAGCACCATGCTAACATACCGTCTGCCCAAACGTCAATGTTTGTTCAAATTTTGGTGGTGGATTAGTATGGTAACATGTCTTGTACATTCATATGATGTAACTTTTTCACGAGAAGTAAACAATATTTATGTTACTAGTTCTTGGTTTCGTTAAATTTGGAAATATTTTGGTATAATGGTTGTAGATGGCTGTAATAAGACTTTTCTTTGACTGGGTTCCCATACCTAGATCGATCTAACGGGATCCATCCAAATCCAAGGGTTTTCTCGCTAAATTGATTTCAGCTTAAGCGGCTTAGATGCCTGGCACGCCTACTCAAGCTGATAAACGATAACTAATTACTCCCTGGCAGTTTCAACATGCGTGACAGACATCTAAGCCAAGAAAGTTGATTGCAATTTACCAATAATCCCCTTGGTGATAGATCGATCCACAGTTAGTACGATTGGGTCTGGGAATTGTCCCTTTAACTGACGTAGACCGGATAATTATCTAAATGTTAGAACAAGTTACCGAACTACGTTTGTTTTTGCAACCGGGCCTGTGATTTGATTGCCCAATATTTGTCAGCTATGTTTGTCCAAAATCTGTCCTTAAACTGACGTAGACCGGACATTCGTCTAAAAGTTTAAACAAATTTCCGAACTAACGTTTGTTTGTACAACCGGTCCTGGGATTTGTTTCTCCAATATTTGTCAGTTATTAGACGACATCAGTATTGACTCGCCTTCCGGTCTGTAAACATAGTCAGGAGAGAAAATATTTGTTTAAGGAACAGGTATTTTATCAATCATTAATATTTGAGAAGCGCTTGTTGTTTTATTTGAAAAAAGACAAGCATCTGTCTTTACTCTGTTTACATAACAAAGCATCTCGTATTCAGGGACTGAACTGGTACAGAAAGCAGCACAGCCGTAGTGCTTTGTATTAGCAACAGTGTTAATTCCATGTCTTAACATATTGCGATGAAAGCGACAATCAAGCGTTATGGTTGTTGGGGCAATATAGGAAAAGACAGTATAACTTGTGAAATATTCACCTGTTCAAATAATATAGAAACATATTTTATTAAATAGACAATAGCTTATGAAAATATTTTGAAGCTTTCACTGGTAATGCATTATTTCTAGACACGGCCCACGGAGCAAGCCATACATTTTGACACACGGTTAAACATTGATAAAAATCAAGGTTTTCGACACGATTTATCGCACACAGCGTAACATCGTATAATACGAAGGAGTACCCTTTGAACAAGTTTCCGATATTTCGCTTGTACAGAATGAAACCGATTAAAACTATCCAACTGATGCTGTTAGGACTGTTGTTATTCTTTCATGTCTGTAAGTACACATATTATATCTTTGTAGGCAATGTGGGGGATTTTTTATGTCAAAATATAGCGACCTTTGCGGTTCTTGTCCTTCTAGTTCATTAGTGTTCAGGAAATCAATGTTGTTTAATTGGCTCCCAAATCAACACAACAGCAACGTGTTTAACATGCACAGGCGTGGATGCACCGATTGTTGACAAAATGTTTATCTACAAAAGTGTAGGATTCCTTAATTTTTCTTTTGCTTTGGTCTATTAGTTTATCAAGGATATTTCTAATATCGTTTTTTTTTCAATTTGTTTATCAAACCATTCTTTCTCGTCTGTCATTTTGTATAACTTTTTGTGTCTACATATCATGTAACAAATATGGCTAGAAAATCTAATAGAGAACATTGAATGAGTCCTCATCACCCATTTTAGATTATGCCACAGGTGTAGCATGCAACAACACATTGGCGGCCTTTTGTCTCCAAGGAAGCACCTTCGTCTACCACGCAGGGACTAGGTCAAAAACAGAGGCGGCGAGTAAGACATATTGTTCGTCACTTCCCCCTGCTGGCACTTGGTATCTGAGCAGAATAGAGTCGTCCACGGAGCGATTAAATCTTTACGATTATTTAATAAGGTAAGCACCGCAGAATCAAAGAAGAAAAGTTTCAGCGTTTGCTCGCTTTACTGGATTCACCTTTTGCACTCAAAAATAAAAGAATTCTGACCCAATAGCAGGTATCTGTATTGTTCCGAAACTCGCCCAATATCCAGCTATACTGGTACAGTAGGTAGTTCTTAGTGATTCGCAATTCACCCTTGTCCAAAATTTTCAAAATTAAATGCTAAATATCTACCAAACCGAAGGAATTATGGGAAAAATTTCTACAGATGGCTGAACGAAAGTCATATGTGGAGATTTCAAATATGCCCTTGGATTTGACCTTTGACCTTTATATCAAGGTGAACTGGGCCAAAATTTTCTAAAAATAGGAATTTTTTTTTACGAAAAAAATTATTTACGCCGATTTTCAGAAACTACGCAGACCTCACCTATAATATTTTCAAATACGTAAGTTTGTGGTCAATCGGTGCATTTTCACGGGGACAGCAGCCAATACTTTAAACCCTGTCTAATTCTGGAACCGATAATGCTAGAGACCTTGTTCTTTGCATTTTGTAGAGCATGCCAAGCCCAACATTGGAAGTGGTGTCCGCTTTTTTTTGTTTTCCATATAGTACATTGTGGTTGTGAAAACAAAATGTGCAATACGGTAATATGCATACAATTTCTGGGAAATATAACATAAGGCATAGCGAGACAGTTTCTGGTCAAAAATGATATTATTTAATAAATTCGAACATCTAGAATTTCTGAGCACCTCCCATTTCATGAATATTAATCAAAATGACCTTTTCTTTATTTCAGTTAAGTTCTTCTGTGCACAAATTTATGGCACATTACTGTAACTCCAAAACTGCAACATTTTAGTCCCTTGTATCTCCAAAACTGGCAGAGATGGGGCCATAGTTACTATTAAACTTGAATAGGAAATCATAGACTGGCAATCTATCTGTCACCTTGAAATTGACCATTGACCTACTTTTCAACACGAACTGACTTTTGCAAGATTTTGGTCCTTCATATCTCCAAAACTGGCAGAGATAGGGTCATAGTTAGCATTGAAGTTGAATAGGAAGCTATATACTGTCAATCTGTGACCTTAAAATTTACCTTTGACCTACTTTTCAACATGAACTGACTTTCGGTCCTTTATATCTCCAAAACTAGCAGAGATAGGCCCATACTTACTATTAAACTTGAAAGGGAAATCATATGTTGACAATCTAACTGTGACCTTGACGTTGACCATTTCACCATGAAATGAACTTTTCAACTTTTCCATCCCTTATATCTCCAAAACTGGCAGAGATACACCCATAGTTACTATTGAACTTGTATGGGAAGTCATGAAATGCGGGCAATCTAACTGTGACGTTGAATGGGTCATTGACCTTCTTTTCACCATGGACTGAACTTTGCAACGTTTCTATCCGTTATATCTCCGGCAAAGGTATGCCCATAGTTACTATTGGACTTGAATAGGAAGTCATATACCGGCAATCTCTGACCTTAAAATTGAACTTTAACCTACTTTTCAACATGATCTGATCTTTGCAAAGTTTCTATCTGTTTTACAGCAAGAGGGTATACGCGTATTTCTGGATATCAGCGATGGACCAAAACGGCAATGGAGAATGGGAGTGGACAGAGCCGGTGACAGAGCCTATACAGTACTCTGACTGGGAGTTGGGGGATCCAGAGCCTGACGGTACTCTGTGCGCCCACCTCGACTGCGAGGAGGACGATTTATGTTTATGGGAGGCTGTCGGTTGTGACGAATCCGACGCAAGACCTCTTTGCAGAGCTGCAGGTAAAATTCCGCTTTCGTCGAACTTTTTTCTCCATTCTACGACATAAAATGACCTTCGTATATTTTCCATCGCTTCTGACGTCTTCTTGGTCGCCTTCTGTTGTTCGTTATAACAATTCAGTTTTACGCTGTCTTTCGAAATCAATACACAAACGTGTTACTTTAAACTGAGTGTTCAAACCGTTTTTAATGGATTTCTGACCAGTTCAATAGAGAATGCATGCAGGCTGCTCTAAAATGTGCACTGTGCGTAAACACTCCTCAACCCACCAAGAGCACTTGGCACACACTTAGCAGAAATCACTCGTTTGATTAATGTCACCTGAGATCCAGGATGGTTGAACACCCCCTCCTACCTGATGGTAAACTTGGGGAAAGTTAAAAGGAGACACCAGACAGAAATCAAAAGACTCAAATCAATTCGATGAATAATTCCATCAGCTTTGTTATGTTATAAGAATTAAGTGATTTTCGTCCACCAACAGTTAATATTGTAATTGTTTACTTCATATATTTTGATCTCTCTCTAGAACATCTTCATCAAGGAATGAGGCTATCCAGGTGAATGGTCTCTATTCAGGGCGAATACAATCATCATAACCTAATAGTATACAATATAACTGTATATTTTTAACTAGTGGTTCTGGAGGAGACAACTCGGCCACATTCACATCCACCCTTCTAACATCCGGGTAAACAAATAGTATAACGCAACCTTCTAAATTATACATATATACAGAAACATTGCTCAAGGTACCAATCTAACTCAACACTATTTTCTTTTGCACTGTTTGGTGAAAATATATAGCCCTGCATTTATTCCAGGCCAACCGCCTGCAAATGCACCTCTAGCGCCCCTAGATGGGAATGTAGAAATAGTCAATCTGAATGTAAGATCTCAAGCAACCACACAGAAATCAGCTTCGATGACAAGTAGCGTGCCAACTGAGGCGACATATATTACCTCAAAGACCAATGTAGAGTCCAGACATATCTCTTTAGGATCGACAATGATTTTTACAGAGCAAACCACGACTTTCACAGAAACCTCTACAGGAACTGATGCGGAGCCAATTGCAACAGTTATTATCACTGATGTCAGATCGACACTTGCAGATATTTCGATAGAAGTTAACCCAGAACAAACATTTATGTTCACAGAGGTTAGGTCAACTTCTACAGATGCTTCGACAGAAACCAACTCGCAATCAACATTTATGCTTAGAGAGATAAGCTCGACTTTCACGGATACAAACTCGGAACCAACTGAAACGAGTTCAAGTTCTACAGAAATTTTGACAGAATCCGGCTTGGTGTCAACAATAGTGTCCAAAGAAACTAGCTCAGATTCCACAGAAATTTCAACAAAAACGATTTTAGAATCAACCGAAAGTAGTTTTTCAGGAAATTCCACGGAAATAATCTCGGAACCAACATTTATGCTAATAGAAAGTTCGACAGATACCCTAACAAACACAATCTCGGACACAATGGTATTTCTAACAGAAATGAATCCCACAGTAATTTCGACGGAACCAAGCGAAAAAACTACGGCAACTCTCTCTTTTGTTTCCAGTTCCACGTATACTGGGTCTGAAACCAGTGTGACAACACATAGCATTTCAACAGTTTTTGTTTCCAGTTTCACGTATACTGGGTCAGAAACCACTGTGACGTCACCCACCATTTCTATGGGCGAACCCTTACACGTGATGGCCAGTTTAACAGAGATGACCTTTTCATATATGCCCAGTGCATCTAAAATTACCTCAGAATCCAATTTAGACTCAGCAGCCAATATCTTATCCGTGGTCGTATCAACCAGTGTGCCTGCGGATTCACCAACAGATGGTCTAGAATTTATTTCGCCACAATCAACCATAACATCGCCAATGCAATTAGCCATAGCATCGCAAACACAATCAGCCATAGCATCGCCATCACAATCAGCCATAGCAACGCCAACACAATCAGCCATAACATCGCCAAGACAATCAGCCATAGCATCGCTGACACAATTAGCCATTGCAACGCCAACACAGTCACCCATAGCATCACCAACACAATCAGCCATAACATCGTCAACACAGTCAGCCATAGCATCGCAAACACAGTCAGCCATAGCATCGCCCACACAATCAGCCATCACATCAGCACAATCGGCCATAGCATTGCTGACACAATCAGCCATAACATCGTCAACACAATCAGCCATAACATTGTCAACACAATTAGACATAGCATTGCAAACACAATCAGCCATAGCATCGTCAACACAATCAGCCATACCATCGCCAACACAATCAGCCATGGCATCGCCAACACAATCAGCATTGCCAACACAATCAGCCATAGCAGAGCCAACACATAGTGTGTATTCAGAAGGCGACCTACAGTTTGCAACTGTAAGCAAGGTTTCCATGACAACAAGCCAACTCCACCTGCAATGCCCTCCATTGCCTCCCATGCCAAACACAAATGTTATCTACAGCGTGGATGGAACAGTCGCCACAGTTGAATGTTCTGAAGGGTACAGACTGAACACAAGACAGGACAATATCACTTTGGTGTGCCTGGAGAGTCTGGCGTGGAACCTGACAGCTAACATCAGCTGTGAGAGTGAGTAAAAAAGACTCCTGATCTTGTAGAATGGATACTTTGTCATTTGGTGTTATCGAATTCTTACTAAGTCAATGTGACATCAACCAAAAAACAAAGAGAATTGCACTTGTGTTTAATAATTGTAAAGAAGCATTTAAATTATATAATCATCGCTTTCTGCACTTGGATTGTTTGCAGACGAACATTTGATTGAGTTATGAAATGTTGAGGTTAATCAAAAATGAAGATAAATTAAATGTGTTTTACTTATTTGTTTATATATATCTACTACCTGTACTTGTACTATAAAGTCACACCCTTTCCTTACAGCTGTTAAATGCAACCTTCCGGAAAATGTTTCGGGGATGACTATCAACGTCACATCAACGGAATATATGGCTCAACTTTCGTATGCATGCGAAAATGGCTCAGTATTTATAGATGGCAGTACAACAAGACAAGCAAGGTGCCATGCTTCTGGAAAATGGCTTCCAAGTTTTGCACAATGTGTCTGTAAGTTACAGATATTAAAATATTTATCAGAAAATGGAGATAACGTGACTAAACTGTTCCTAATTTAAATTAACCGTCATATAAAACGGAACGGGATAAAAGAATAATGTAACATAAAAGAGCGTGCATGTTCAAAATAGATAAAAAAAACAAACTTATTTTGATTTTTGTTAATTGCACATAACATGCAGCTTATGTAATGTTAACAACATTGTATTTTATTTGTGTTCTTCAGCTCATCGGCTTGAGATGCCAAAATCTGCCCGTCAAAGAGGAGAACCGCCTGTGGAAGCTACAGGTGCCGCTGTGATTGGGACATTTGCTCTGGGAGTATGCTTGGCTATTGTGGGAATTATAATCTTTCTTGATATTGCCACGTTGAAGCGCCATCTATCGAGGATGAAAAAAAATTTGGGTTACCACAAAGAGAAGCGCAATTTTAAGGGAAGGAAATAGGCTTATTGTGTGTGACCACGAGTAAAAGTAAAGACCATTTTACGGCTATTGAAAGCATCTTTGTATAAGATCACTTTGATATTTGATCTACATCCGTCCTTGTTCAAACTAATAATAACAGTAATGCAAGATAAGTTGCAAGATTTTCAGTTAAAAGAATACCAGACGTGTTTAAGCAGAGTCGGGAGAAAAACATTAAATATAGTCCTCATTTTCACCTTAAGGGTTATTGTTACTTATGTGGTAACTTTGAAGAGCAGATATGTAGGACCAACCACATGGTCATCTTGAACGTCTGGGGAAAACCTCTCATATTTTGCTTGTGTAGTCTTTATTTTTATGAGAATGTCGAACAAGCTTAAACGTGGTACTTATAACATACAACATACAGTGCAAGATTATTTTTGTTGACAAGGAGCCGCCGTTTGTTTCTGCATATTAGATTACCTATGGGGAGTGTATCATATAAAATTGTGTTTCTCGCAAACTTATCCCATAATCCTTTCAAATGTACTCTTAGGTGTGCAAGCTGTCTGGAGGGCGGCATTCAGTGTGTTTGTTGTGCATTATTAATTCTCTGTAAAGTTACATTTAAGACAAAGTACGCTATAATACGCACATAATTGTACATGTAGTTCAAATTTTTAGGAATGTTGGTTAGTGCAAGCCTAAATTGTGACTTAAAATCCTCAAATAAAAGTCCACTTGGGCATAGATATCAAGTAGTATTTTATCAATAGTAACAAAGTATTGCGTTAAAATGATGCAGACATTTGCTTTTTTTGTTCAAGCATGTGAAGTTGGCTATTCCCTGTAGTTTGCTGCCTTTGAATTGGTTAAACATCGAAAAAAGAATGCTGAAGGGTGCATTCCGAGCTCCACCACGAGCCAACATACAGCATTGGTCAAAAAGGTTGTCCCACCTTCAGTGTCATGTGCTTTTATTTATAAATGATCCCATCACAGGAGAATATTGTAATAAATAGTGGTTTTCATTCCAGATACCATTACTAACATGATTAGTGGTACAGAAAATACAAATTAACGGTAAAGATATCAAAATCAAATACCATTTATTCACATTCATTACATGCACCCCCTCAAATCCGACGTTTCACTGTGATTTTCACAGAGGTAAAGAAATGTCCATTTAATTGAAAAGACACCACTAAATGTCACCAAATTTTCACACATTTAGCATTAGAGCATGCTCGTTAAAGGCTCATTGTCTAACAGCGTTTGTGTTTACCGCGTACTGTAATTACCTCCTGTAGGTGGCGCGGCCTGCCTTCAACAAGGGTAATAATTCTGTTTTATGGGATATTGTCCAATTCTTCCAAAAGAGCTCGGGGTAGTTTGTCCAGATTATCAGGAGTTACGTTTTCCTTCGCATTGCACACTTCAATTCATGTTACAAATGTTTAGTAAGGTTAACAACAGGGCTCAAAGATGGCTGTTCCATCCTCTGAACATAGGGTTTCTGCAACAAATCACTCAGCAGACGAGAGTTGTGAGTAAATACATTTCCACGATGACGCCTGCAGTATCCCTGAAGTCACCTCTTGCAAATGGAATGAGATATTTGTTGAGAATGTTTCAGTGAATTGCCCCAGTATCGTTCTTTTCCGGAAAGAACAATGCATTGAAACCATGGGCGTGGAATTCTCTGCAAACGTGGTGGACTGACCTGACACCTCAGGCTATATTATGCTGCACAAACCTACCAAAGGGCATTCTGCAACACGTCTACGGGCCCTAATTTGACCATCGAAGGCATAAAATACCTCGATTCTTCAGCAAAACCAACTTGTTCCTATTGATTGTTGACCACGTTCTGGTAGTTCTGGGGTCACTAAACCTAGCATTCTCAACCGATACCTCATTACATCTGCAAGAGGGGACTTCGGGCTGGTCCAGGCTTCATCATGACAGCACACCTGTACACAGTTCTCATGTGGTGAGTGATTTGTTGCAGAAATCCATTGTTCTGAGGCTGGAGAAACCATCTTTGAATCCAGATAATAACCCTACTGAACGCCCGTGTCATGAATTGAAGTGTGCAATCCAGAAAAGAACCAAACTCCAAATAGTCCGGACCAATTCCGCCAAGCTTTTTAGGAAACATGTGACAATATCCCACAAAACAGAATTGGCGCCGTCTACAGGAGATAATTACAGTGCGCGGTAAACACACACACTAATAGACACGTGACATTTAACGAGCACACCCTAATGCTTAATGTTTGTAAATTTGGTGACATTTGGGGGTGTCAATTCAATTTAATGGGCATTTCTTTACCTCCGTTAAAATAACAGTGGAACATCGGATTTGAGGGGGTAAATGTAATAAATGTGAATAAATGGTTTTTAATATGGATATCTTAACCGCTAGTTTGCATTTTCTGTACCACTAATCATGTTAGTTATGGTATATGGAATGAAAATTACCATTAATAGTTTATAACTCCTGTGATGTGATGGTTTATAAAGAAAAGCACATGAAACCGGGGGTGGGATAACCTTTTTGACCAATGTTGTATAATAAGGACGTTTGACATGTTTACCAGACATGTCGGCAAATGTTAGTTTAAACTCCAAGTGCTCCTTTATCACCAGACATAAATCAACACATTTGGTTATATTCTAAAAAGCAATCATTGTCATATTTGTTTTTACCTGTCTTTATGTATCATCTGGGTTTCAGTAACAAATACATTTTTCTCTAACTTAAATTGAACAGCTGTGGTTTTCTCACATCGACTTACAGCCCCAATGTATTCATTACTAAAATGATGAGCCAATCGATTTCAGTCTCCATAATAAAATATCTCCAAAATAGAACACATGTGCCACAGGCGCGATGTATCTGACTCGGCTCTACATCATTTTGCGAATAAAACGTCACTGTTAGAAGAATCGAATAAGGCGCTAGAAGGAACCCCCCGAGTCGTGATGAAGGTAGTTGCAGTGGGCCTCCTGTTGTGGGTCCAATTACGTAAGTACTGTCACCAAAATTGTACAGACGTGCAATTAGATACTTGTTTTTGTTTGCCACCATATCACCATGCGTTCATTTTGCACAGACCATAGAAATGGCATTAAAAAACCGACCGACATCCTTTTCGACGAAGGTACAAGGTCCATCACCTGTTACATTTTAGTAATACGATGGCTACCGCTGCTCAGATTCAACTTTAAATTTTACCCGGAGTGGAAAAAATTCTCTGACTTGAAAGTTACAGCAACAAGAAAGCGTGGTCTTAAAATATTTTGAGAAGGTTTTTAGGTATATATCGTGATCTAATTTTTCAGCCAATCTCGTACGCAACGGGAATAGATCAGGACTGGAAAATTTCATTCCTAAGATAACGGGTAAAAAACTAGAAATGACGAGCTCAAACACGGGTTTATAGAGCGTTATTTATTTTTTTTCAATAATTATTTTGGATATACCTGAGGCTGAATGAGGGAAAGTGCCAAAGCTTTCGGGCTATTTTTCATTTGCTGTCGACACGTAAAGGACAGATGCTCAATGTGCATTTATCCCTTTTAGCTGCGTGTAGATTCATCTCAGAGCATCTCAAGTCCATTCCAGGATCTATAATAATTATCTAAAATATTCTAAAATAAAATTCTACCTCTGCATGCCTTCTAGGTTTGACATCCACCACTGTTGTTTGTGACGGCACTTTGTCCGCCTTTTGTTTCCCTGGGGTGCCTTACGTGTACCATACAGAAATTGCCTGGATAACAATGGACCAGGGCAGGGCCTACTGTTCGGAATTGTCCCCAGCCGGTGCGTGGTACCTAACTAGGGTAGATTCGGACGCAGAGAGGTCGCTGATTTATGGTTATCTGTCGAGGTAAGGTGCTATAAAGAATTTGTCACTGTCTAGACTTTAGATTTATATAAAGGCCTTCTTTCTTTTCTAACATGCGTCATCACCTACAGCACTTGCTCTTTTGATAAGCCCTATCCTTGGTCTGTGTACATCCATAACCTGGAGCTGCGTCTGTCGTCGACAGAAGCATCAATGTGGTCCCCGTTCCATTTTCA